GAGGGGTCAGAATGGATTAACCGTATTTACATTGAACCTTATGGGAAAATTTTATTCGGTTGGCAACCAAAATCGGTTGGCGACCAAATTCGGAGGGGTCAGAATGGATTAACCGTATTTACATTGAACCTTATGGGAAAATTTTATTCGGTTGGCAACCAAAATCGGTTGGCGACCAAATTCGGAGGGGTCAGAATGGATTAACCGTATTTACATTGAACCTTATGGGAAAATTTTATTCGGTTGGCAACCAAAATCGGTTGGCGACCAAATTCGGAGGGGTCAGAATGGATTAACCGTATTTACATTGAACCTTATGGGAAAATTTTATTCGGTTGGCAACCAAAATCGGTTGGCGACCAAATTCGGAGGGGTCAGAATGGATTAACCGTATTTACATTGAACCTTATGGGAAAATTTGATTCGGGTCACGACCAATTCGGGTCGCGACCAGAGTCGCGGAACGAATTAAGTTCGTGACCCGAGGTACCACTGTATTTATAAGGACGTTTTCCATATTGAAGGTAAGCACATCTGTCCACAGATCAATAAACATATCTATCATCTCTCTCTCCTCCCCAGCAACTTTTCTCATTCATCATTATGAAAATACTCAACTTTTCTTGGCCAAGGGCCACACTTGGCTTTTGAGGGCCAGATTGGAGATCCAAGTAAGTTGGAGACTGAAGCAGGGCCAGGAGAAAACTTAAATTTGATTTTGTAATTACAAGTAAATTGCACTGATGAAACAGAGATAATATAATTATTTGCCATGTGTCACATAAAAAACCTTTGGTAGCTGCTTAGTGGGTAGTGGATTATACAGCTCTGCTTTAATTTTGACATAACGATGCTGAATGCACAGATAAGGACGATGGGGAGATCTGTGATTAAGATATCTTCAAGTTAATAGTTTCAGAAGAAGTGGAGTTAATCAGCAGTTCACAGTGTCACAGTCTAATTTGTCCCCTCTCCTTTCCTCATTTGCTATCTATTCATTTTTTTAAAATTATAACAGTTACAGTACTGTGCTACTTTTTGTTGAGGCCTGAAAAGATTTAGCAAATTTTGGAAAATGTTAACTTTTGCTGTAACTTGATGGCTATAGGAGTCAGTCCTGCCTCTCACCACTTGGGGGCATTTTCTGAAGAAATATTTACCATACTGAAAGTGTCAAGCAATACATTTGATGTTCATGACTTTACTAAATCAAACACAAAACATGGGGACTGGGCCTAGTTAGCATCCATTCTGCAGGATGTCAAATGTTGAGAAGTAAATCCTGTACTCATGCAGTACTATAGAGACTGTCAAAGGGCTTAGTGTTTCCAAGGATGTCACAAACACTGCCTCATATTTCTGAGGCTGGAAGGAGGGGGGCTGAGGCTAAAAGAGGAACCTGAATGAGCCCATTTGACAATTTGAGATATTCTGGTTTTGGTTTGCTAACTTACACTGGCCAGAGTGGAGAGACTGGGGTGTTCTATAAAGGCTATAATATAAATAAATACCACATAAATAAATTCAGAAGCCCCATGAGAAATCTATGTGAGGACCTCCCCCGTAGCATGAAGCTCTCCTTCTGTTACATAGGATGGTTTCTAATGCTGGAAGCACTGTAGAAGTGACACATTCAGTTTTTCTTGAGGGTGAGCTTCCCTATATGAACATGCCTTTCAATTAGGATCATTGGAAAGAGGTCTTCTCTGATGCCTCCATTTTCTAAGATCAAACAAAAGACTGAAAGAAAGGCCTTTTCAATGATGACACCAAAATGCCATATGTCTGATATTTACTGTGATATTTTTCAGTACCAGGTAAAACTGAATACAGTCTTAATAACACCTTATCTTCCTTTGGGCTAATTATTCCTCCTAGTTTATATTATGTTGTATGCCCCATCTTCTAAGGTTTTTTTTATACAGGGTATAAATCCCATCACTTACTGTCCAAGCACACAAGAACTGTATCTCTTTCCAGCTGAGTGACATGGATGGCATCAAGTTGTTGACAACCTTTAGGGGAAATGAGCCATTAGTCTGTATCCAAAAACTCAATGCACCAAAAACCCAATACACATCCAGCTTCCCACATCAGAAGCCATTAAAGTTGCTTTGAGATCAAAAAGCAGTAAGAAAAATTAAAGTGATTCAATTTCACAGCATCTTCAGCTCAGATTCTTTTTTAGAGCAGTATTTTAATTTTCTTACCCTTCCTATTGATGTCTAGAACAGGGGTAAGGCAATATAAATTGTCTAAATGTTGCTGGACTGTAATGCCAAGCAGGGAGGGATGATGGGAGTTACAACTTAGCACCACTACCAATGCATAATACTGCAAGCAGGAATCATGCATGTTATGAGTATTTTAGAAGCAACCAATTGTGTATTATGCAGGCAATACATGGCAGGCCAAGAGCACCTGGTCTTGTATTACAAGAGAAGCTTTAAAAAGGATGTTGCAGGTGACCTACTTTGCACTCATTTACTGCAGCTGCAAGGTGAGAAGCAAGGAATTAAAAGGGAAAAAATGGGAAGCAGCAGCATTGTTCTCAAGGAAAGGGCAACTCTTTCAGTTTTCTTAGGTTGTCATTCTGAACACTTGAGATAGCATAATAATGATGCAAAAGCAATCTTTCTGTGACCTTTGAATTCCCCATCACTTCTTTCTCCCATAACAAATGTGCTTTTATTGTCCCAGAAATTTGCCTCCCCATCCTAAACTACAGCCTTGTAGCACATTGTGTAGAACACTGTAGGAGGAGAGCTGCCTATAGTGGCAAAAATCAGGAGACTGGTAGCACCTTTTCTGACTAAGCTTTCATGAGCTGCAGTTCACTTCATTAGATGCATCCTGTAGAACACATGCCTCTATGATGAAGTTTCTTTGATTAGGAATCGTTGCTGTAATCCAACATCTGTCAAAAAACATTGACCCCCTTTTCACTGCAGAGCACTAGAGATTCACCTTAGAAGGAAAGGCTTCTGCAGACGGCAATCAATGTCTGACTTCTGCAGATAGAGTCTATCTTGTGCTACTGAAGGGTTCCAAAAGTAAGTAGATTACATGGTCTTTTGTAGGAGGGGAACAAGGTGGGGCAAATGACATGTATCTTGATGCCATAGCACAAATGACACAATTTACATACTTGCATATATTACAGTACTGTGACATTTGCACAATGATGCCATGTTGCATGTATCATTAATTTTGACATAATCATGACTTGTAACAGATGTCTATGCCAGAGTATCTTATTTTTCAGAACAGTTTGAACAAGCTGACTTCCTGCAATCCTTCACTATTGTTGCGGGTTGAAATCTAGAATACCAGTAAAATGGAAATTCTATGAGTTGAGCAGTTAAATAGTTGACTTCTCCAGCTAAGCACCCTCCAGATGTAGCCTGGGGTGACAGGTTGTAATCCAACATAGCTAATCTATATGCTTCTGCTGTTCTAAATATACACCTGCTAATTAATTGCCAATATATGATTATTGTTTAATGAATAGTGGGTTGTATTGTTTTCATGTTTTATCCTGTTTTTTTACAAAAATTCTATTTTTGTAAAAAAATTCAAAAATCCATTTGGATTTTTGTAAAAAATAGGAAGGTACACTAAGTATGCACAAAGTGTTCTCTCTCTGGGGAAACGGAAAGTTCTGAGGAATTCTAGAATGTTCTAGTCTTCTGCACCATGCTGACCTACACATACTGGGAGTGTCCAACAGTTTTCTGGGAGAAAGGTCTTCTGGAACAGGAAGTCTTTTGCGGTGGTCTGGCCCCAAAACAAATCTAAAATGTTTCCCAAAATATTCCATATCTGGAAACCAAACATTTTGCATACACCTAATACAAACACTAAACAAAATTAAACTGAACAAGGCCAGACAGAGACTCACCTGTACCAATTTCTGTAAACCATGAGGAAGCTGAGTTCAAGTTGATCGTCTCAAACTGTACAACCTGATTTGGTTCAGCCCCCTTGCTGATTGCAACACATACCATAGGGTATTCCTGTTCTGGGATCACCAGCATTTCAAATACTTTCAGTGGGGTTGGCAAAGGGAAATCAAAGTGCTGGAGGATGAAGATAAATAAAAAAGATTTAATTGAAGAACAACTTGTATATTTTAAGATATGCCTTTTTAGAATGTATCCATTCATTCCAACATTAATTATTTCATTTATTTTAGATCTGAAAAGTAACCTACACACTCAATTTAAATCCATATAAAATATTACAACAAATATATACTGTACAGGTATACAAAACCCCAAGCACTTTCAAAACATTTCTCTGAAAATGCTCCTAAATGAGCTTTTATGGATCAGCTTCCCAGGGAAGGATTTTTACTTGTTCCTGTCCCCTGTTTTGTCTCCAAAAACCAAATGGTCAAGTTATCCCTGATATTTTTTGAATGTAAAGATAAAGACCAGCAGTTTAAACTGAGCTCAAAAACTGCCATAGGTCCAAACTCATTTGAAATCTCAAATTACATCAAAATTCTAACAGTGCCAGTACACTTTTGGCAGACCAATTCCTAAAAAAAAAAAATTCAGAGAGACAGAGACAGAGAGAGAGAAGGGATGGGAGGAAGCTTACCTTTATTAACATGAATTTCTGCATTGGTTCATACCACTGAAGCAAAACAATTCCCAGTTGCAAAGCTCCACAGAGGTATTTATGACCTGTATATGGGTTTCTTACTAATGAAGGAAAAAGAAAAGAACTCTGAAGTAAACATAATGGCTCATTTTAATTTGCCAGCTGTTTGAATTCATCTTACAATTTATCACAGATGAATCATTTATCACTAACCTCCTCTGCCTGCATAACCATCCTAGAAGAGCCATGTGGTGTCACATCTCCTCAGGGATACAATTTCTGTCACATTTTTTATTCAATCTACAAGATTCCTCATCTATCACAGTCCTTATGTATTTCATATATTGCACAATCACCACATTCAACATGGCCAATTGTGAAGGATGCTGGGTACTGTAGTTCAGCCATACCTGAAGGGCCACAAATTTCTCATTGGGGCCACAAATGCCTCACTGAAAAATAAATCTAAGCGTACACAGCTAAACTGCCAGACCCCTTTTTCACTTCAATCTTATTAGTGCCATGTACAGTGATGGTGAAATATACACTGAAAGTAAACATTCTGCCACCCAGTGCTGAAGTATTAAGTTCAGCACTCATATTTTTCTGGAAAGCAGGAAAGACACTGTGATGCTGTATTACAGGTTTCAGGTCTGCCTGCAGGACAAGAGGAGAAGTTAAGCAAAATCAGAACAGTCAGCTAGAAACTGGCATTCTCAATTGTGTCAGAATTACAACTCCTATTGTCACAACTGCCATGTTAAATCATGGAGATGAAAACTGTATGTATGTGTTGGACTATAATGGAAAAACTACAGCAAAGTATTTTCAAGGAGCAATACTAAATCAGAAATACCTGAATCTCTAGTTAGGGACCAGTCCACAGGACTCTATCCATTTACAGCCTGTGAGACTGGCCCTCTATTATTTGCAGTGAGCATCAAAACTAAATATTGTCAGCCTGTATTAATTTAAACAGAAGAGCCAACTAACCCTGCTCAAGCAACTATCTGAGTAGACTTGGGCTCTAAAGTGAGTTGGCATTGGTCATACATAACACCAGAACTTGATCAAGGCTTGAAATATATCCTGGTTCCAAATGACAATTTGGTTGAAGGCCTGAGCTGGGTCTAGGATTGCCTTTTAATCTCACTGGGAAGTTGCAAATACTTGAAATATAATATTTAATTTTTCATTGTTAATTCTGAGAGATTAAGCTTGAGAGATTTATACTTGCATTGATTCTCAATCTGCTGTTCTCATCAATTACAGAACTATCCAGATACTCTTCCCCAAAGACAAGGAACTCTCCCTGCAGGACTAGGCAGGAAAACTCAGTTTTGAAAGAGAAGAGCATCTGCCCTATTTTAGCCATGCTTTGACACTGTGACCTCAGAGCAAGTGGTGAGAGAAACCAGGAGCAGGTTTTTTATTCAACCTTCCACACTGCAGTGCCTTTGAGACATACTGGATTATCATTCCCTAGTCAGAACAGGGTGGAATTAAGAGAATTATAGTCCAATATACGTGAAGGTCATTAATTTAAAAAGGGCATTGTAAGTTGTAGGGTGGTTTCAAGCTCTACAGGAGCTGGAAGATTCTTTGCAGACTGAACTGAGGATATCAACTCAAGATGAAGACTCACCTATGCAACATTTGTGGCATCCTTTTGTATCTGGGATCTTTGTTGTTAAGGCAAATTTTCTGAAAAAAACAGAGCCAACTGTTAAGAACAGGTCAGAGGACTCATGGAAAAATAATTTGCAACAGGGTTTTCCTTGAGCCATTTTTTATTTAAACCCCCAGAATATTAAACAGCAACAGGAATGGAGCAACTGTTCTTGATGGCAGTTGCTTGTTTGCAAAATAGAAAATCTATGGGGAAGGACATTGTATCTCTGAGTATCAGTTTTTGGAGACTGCCTTTGTAGCATTTTGTTACATCCAGTTTTCTGATCTTGCAGGATTTTCTTCTAATGTACACTCCTTTCTTTTATTAACAGAATAGGAACATTCATTGTTTTTAATACATATACTTTTATTAAGAATTTTGATTATAATAGTAAAATCTAATACAAACTTAACTTAAAGAAAGAAAAGAGAATAGTGAGAAGTAAAAAGTGCAAGGAAAAAGAAAAAAGAGAAGAAAGAGAAAAGTAAGAATATAATAAAGAGGAGAGAAATATATAAAGAAGTGACCTCCAACCTCATTACAAGTATAAACAAATTTAGTAACTCTTAACCCTCTCTAAAGTTACAAACATTTATCTCTTCATCCCATATCCCATCTCTTATCTATAAACAAATTCATAAAACATATTTTCAGTCCTAGTGTCAGCAGAAAGTCCATAAAGGGTAGCTAGAAGTAACAACATATCTTGTTTTAACCTTGATCAAATAAACCAACTATATATTCCTTCCTTTGATTTCTAACAGTCTTAATCTTTAGTTCATTCAAATATTGTTGTACCATTTGATTTCTCTTCATTTCTTCTTTGTCCCATTGCCCAGAGCTCTTCAACACTTTAATAAGCCTCTTTTGTAAATCCAATAGGAAAAAATTATCCAGGTCAGTCTTTTGGTTTGTCATTTGTATTTCCCTTTTAAATTTTAAAGTCTCAGCCAATTTCTTTTGTGGATCCAGTGAAACATCCTTTTCTAAGTCATTCTCTTGGCCTGTCAGTTGTAAATCCACTTTCAATACCAATCCTTTTCTAAGTCATTCTCTTGGCCTGTCAGTTGTAAATCCACTTTCAATACCAATCCTTTTCTAAGTCATTCTCTTGGCCTGTCAGTTGTAAATCCACTTTCAATACCATCTCTATCTTGTTGGATAAAATTTGTTCTACAACTGTCATTTTTTCAATAACATCTTTTGGACACAGTCTATCCACAGAAGCAGACATCAGTACTGACATTGTTGATATTGTGGCTACTATTTTCTAATTCCATTCTTCAAAAGTCTCCTTCGGTATTTTTATTGTCATAATGTTTTGCACCACCTTGCAAGCCTGTATATCTTTCCTCTACCTAAAACCTTTAGTCCCCTCTAGTGTCCAGTTTTTGAAATCATGAAATTGCTTATCTATGTTATGTCTTGTAAAACTAAAACAGGATCTATTTCCCACGAGAAGTTGTTTGTACTTCATAATTAATTCCAAAATCGTACTGTAAAAGTTTCAATAGTCCAATTTTATCTGGACCCTTAATCCATTTATAACTTTCTAAGAACAAAATCTTATTTAGCTTTTTGCTGTTTATTTCAGATTCTTTAAGTTCTTAAGCCTATGATTAAAATTTTCTTTTATTCAGGATTGAAGGCAGACTCACCCAGTGTTTTCAGACTTGTTGCTCCGAAGGTCTCTAATAATTTACAAGTAATTAATGAGCCATTTCCAAAAGCGATTAGAAAGTGAGGTTTACAAACTTAGTGTCCTTTAAAAGTCTCTGTCATGGTTGTGAGCAAGATGGCTAATCCTGTCATCTCCCGGCACTCAAACCTGCAGAAAACTGCTATTCTGTGGTCTCTTCGATAGGAGTAGCTGTTCAGAACACATGTGGGCAATGGCCCATTCTCTCCTTACCAGGAGAGGTTCCAAGGAACCAGTCTACTCAGCAGTTCCTTGGTCTTTGCCGTGGTTGTTGGCTCTGTGAAAAGTTCACTATACCACCCCCGGAAGTTTCAGGAACATTCATTTTTAAATTCAATTGCTTATATATAAAATATACAACAGCAGATCATGGTACACAAAAACTATATGCAATTTTCATAGTTATGCTTCAGAAATATTGAATTCTAAAGAAATAATCTACTCATGTCTGGCATTTCAGAATATCATTCTTTTGCCCTTCCCAGAGATATCTTTAGTCTTCTTTGCTTTCTCAAATTGTCTTTCAATAGATATACAGGGAAAGTTTCTTTAAATATAAAGCTGGTATAAATTCAGTCATAATAAACAGTTCCATCCTTCTTGTATCCATTCAATCTACCTCTACTATAATATTCTTCTTACTGACTTTCACCTAGTGGCAATTTCAATTCTAGCAGTCATCAAGAACATAAAGCCAATTTCCTTTTCCTTTACTTTAACAAAATCCTTTGTGTAGCCCAACAAAGATCTAACAGTTTTAATCACATTCTGTAATATCCTTTAACTGTTTTAATGGCTATTTGCCAAGACATTTAAATTTCAACAATGCTTTACCATCTGTGAATATCATCTACTCTGTTATCTCCCACAGCATCAACACAGTAGAGTCCCATACTTTTTCAAGAACTGTATAATTATTTTCCTAAAGTTATTTGACAACAGAGAGCCAGTGTGGTGTATTGGTTAAGCTGCTAGTCCAGCACTAGATGACTCTGGGCCAGTCACTTCTTCTCAGCCCAACCTATCTTACATGATTGCTGTTGTGGGGGACATATATCTCTGCACAAGGTGCCTGGAACTCTTGGAAATCTTTTCATTTAATTGAGATTTTTGTTCTTATTTTTCCAAGTATTGTATCTTATTTTGTCAAGTATTATATACTTTACACACTTAAGAAAGTATCATGCTAGTGGTGTAAAAGATTATTCATAGGGTGTTATGAAAATTAGGCATCAACTGATTCTAATTTGTCATGACTACCAACTGGCCATGACAATGAGAGTACCAACACAGACGCATAAATGCGTGTGCGCACAGGCACACACAAGACACAGAAGAGGTGCAGGAGGCACAGTGCTTGGTCTGCCTGGAATAGGCATGCAGGCTGAATGCCAGGACCCAGTGTGACACTCCTCAGGAAGAATCCCAGAGGAGCCATAAAAAATTAACAATTGGTTTTCATGAACTGGACTGAATCAGCTAGATAACTTCTAAGAGTTTTTATTCTAAAACTAACAAAGTGTAAAAAAGAAAAAAAAATAGGGAGAGAAGAAGGATAGAAAAAAACTGAGGAAAAAGAAAAAAGGATAAATTCCAGCAATGCATGCTAGAAAATCTTGGTTATTGTTGGAAATGAGGTTTAAAGGAAGAAGCCAAAAAGCACTTTAGAAATTTCTAAAGAAAGAAAGAAAGACAGATAGACAGACAGACAGACAAACAGACAGATATCTGAAGTTATTTTAAAAAGATTCTTATTTGTCCAATGCTCTGTCTACTCTTCATCCCAATATACTGGAAAATCTCCTACTTCTAATTTGCAACTTTTAAAAATCATAAATGCGGTTATATAGCTAGAGCATAGAATTAGAGTGAAAAGGGCTGGATTAAAATCTATGTTCAGCCACAAAGTATACTGGGTGATTTTGGGTCAAACTTTGCAGGATTGCTGTGAGGATAAAATGAATGAACTGGAAAAAAAAATATGTGTGAGGCTGTCTGAGAAAGAGAGAGAGACAGATGTCAAGCTCCATGAAGAAGAGGCCTGATGTAAATGAAACCAATAAAAGTAACTTCTATTTCTGAAATTTACACTCAACTTTCCAGCCCAATATGCTTCAAAACTGCCATAAATAAATTAAAATTACAATAATATTGCCACAAAAGTAGCTTAAGCAACAGAACCAACCACTTTAGAAAGGAAAAAAACCAGAGATGAAACCACAGCCACAGAATGAAACTCAGCTAAGATCTGTAGAAAGACTAAGGCAAATAAAGAGCTTCCCTGATGCCTGAAAGGGATTGGTGAGGACAAGAGGCAACCTTTGGGACAGCAGTGTTCTATTAATAAGGTGCCACTATCATGGCAGTTTCTCTCCTTGGTTGCTATCTGTCTCATTTTCAAAAGTGGGACAAAATTCTTGAAAGAAAATCTTAGCATCTAGCTGCTTTTCATGAATGATGGGGTCTTTGGGGTATCCTAGTCCCAAACCGTAAAATCTGGCCTTGTATTTTTGTTTCCATCTCCTGAAATCATTTATGGAATGTTACACAGATACATATTTCTCTATTTCTAAACCTAGAAGCAGCAAAAACAGTTCTCAATGAATACTCACAAGAAGAGACAACTGGTTATGGAAAATATTGTTCTCATGATCAGCAATAGCAAGCAAGACAGATAAAACCCCAGGGCAAGACAGCAAAAACATGTATCTCAAGATTACCTTACCTTGGTAATATTTTATCAGGAAATCGATGGGTCTGAATATGAGCAGCTATTCCTGTTTTTTTGGCTTGTTCAAACAAAGCTATTAGGTTATGGGAGTAGAGCTGGAATGTTTTCCCTGTAACACAGATAACATTTGATCTATGTCAGACTCTGACATATCAAACCTATAATGCAAAAACCAAATAAAAATAAAAGGAGAAGGAAACTTATAGAGCAGAGAAGATTACCTTCTAAAAGGATAGCCCCCAAGTATCCATAGGTCCAAGCAAATTGTAGAATGAAAGGGGAAAAAATTAAGAGAGATGATTTTCATAAGTTCACCAAAAGTTAAATGCAGCACTCTGAAATTTTCTACCCCCACCTTTTAAACTTTGAGACATTTCTTCAGCAATATACATACCTGAGAGTGACATTAAAGTGTTGTTGATAACATACAGCCACGTGCACCGCCGCGGGAACAGCTAAGAAAAAGGAGCAGAAAACATTCCAGTGGAGAAAGGAGATAGGTACAGGTGGTCCCCAGGTTAAGAACGCCTGGGTTACAGACGACGCATAGTTAAGAACGGAGACTACCGTAGCAAAATTCGAGTTAAATACACAATGATTCAAGTTAAATACACAATGGTTTGAGTTCATTACACAATATTACTTATACAGTATTATACAATAATACTGTTCTGGCTTACATACTAATTGGACTTAAGGACAGACCTTGGGAGTGGAACTCATTCTTAAACTGGGGGCTACCTGTAATTTGATTCTAGAGCTCTGTGAATTCCAGGCAAAACAATGTTTGGGCCAAGCAAAATTTCCCTTTATGGCTGCCCAGAATGCAAACACACAAGGAGACCTTCAACTCTTTTCAACCTGATCTAATACCAATACCACTTACAGTATAATTCGAAGCACTATTACTTGGAAATAGTCGTTTTGTATCCTATGGCATAGAGAAGTATGTGCATGTTTGCACTGTCAATACTATTATTAAGTTTTTGAGAATTCCACTCCACTCACATTTGAATAAATTCCATCTATACATTTATCTCTATCTCCCACCCTCCAGTACTTCTAAGATCACTCATAATGATACTGCAAAATTAAATACCAAGAACCCAGAATCAAAGAAGCTGAAAAAGCAGGAACAGTAAAAAAAATAAAATAAATGGTAGTAGAATAAAAGTATTAAGAACATCTGAGAAACATAAGGCATCAAGAGCACTTTCTAATCACACCACAGGCTTTACTGGGTGACACTAGTCAGAAAACGGATGGAGGCATTTTCTCTAGGAAGAACTCACAGACTCAGGTCAAGATTATGCAATCTTTTTCAGGCCTAGACCATTCTTGGCTTTAAGTGGGGCCGCACTCCAAGAAGTGGAAGGATCCAGAAGAAAAAAACTTTTTGTTAAATTTAATTAGAATTAAATATAAAACTACATTAAATGCAATATTACATTTTATAATTACTGTCTGTGCATTTAATATTTTTTCCCTTTGGTCACGCTAACACCTTCAATCTAATTCAGCAGCATCCACGGGGAGGGGTCAAAAAAGTCAAGATGGTTGCATGACCAAGCAATCAAAGCCCCACATCTTTTTATTATTATTGCTTGTTTGTTATTGGCTGCCTAACTCCAGTGGACTCTGGGCAGCATACAAAACTAGGGAAAACATAAAAACTGCTAAAAACATTGAATCACACAGATAGCCCAGACTAAAATAATCTAATAGATAGCAAAAACAACAAAATACAAGGGCCATTGAACAAAAAATAAACATCAACCCCAGGCCTGGGACCAAAGCCAGGTTTTCAAAGCTTTCCGGAACCCCAGGAGAGAGGGTGCTATCCTTATCTCTGGGGGGATGCTGTTCCAGAGGGCAGGAGCGGCAACAGAGGAGACACATTTCCTAGGTCCCACAAGAAGACAGTGTTTAATGGAGGGGACCTGGAGTGCACCCACTCTGCTGGAATGTACTGGGTGGGCAGAAACAGTCAGAAATAAGCAGTCTTTCAGATATCCAGGCCCTATGCCATACAGGGCTTTATAGGTAACAACCAGCACCTTCAACTGCACTTGGAAGCTGACTGGCAGCCAATGCAGCTCGCACAGAAGTGGTCACACACGAGCACACCAAGAAGCCCCCCATTACTGCTCACGCTACTGCATTCTGAACCAGCTGTAGCTTCTGGGTGGTCTTCAAGGGCAACCTCATGTAGAGCACATGGCAATAATCCAGGTGACCAGGCCATGAGTGACTGTCTGAAGGTCCTCCCAATCAAGGAAAGGGTGCAACTGGGACACAAAATGAATCTGTGCAAAGGCCCTCCTGGCCACAGCTGCCACCTGCTCTTCAAGCAGTAGCTGCGAGTCCAGATGCACCCCACAAGTTGCACACCAATTCTGAATGGGGGAGCACAGCCCCATCCAGACCAAAGATGGTGACATCCCTGACCCAGAGGATTCAAACAGCCACAGCATCTTGTTTATTTATTTATTTAATTTATATGCTGCCCATCTCCCCCAGAGGATGACTCTGAGTGGCTCACAATTAAAATCAAACAGTAAAAACAGTAAAAATTGTTAGGATTGAGCCGAAATCTGTTGTGCCCCATCCAGATCCAAACAGCCTCCAGGCACTGGGTTTAACAGCTACACCTGTGCTGCTCAGGATGGACATGTAAAGTTGGGTATCAACAGCATACTGATGATAGTGATCCCTGAACTGGCGAATGACCTCACCCAGTGGTTCCATGTAGATGCTGAACAGGAGAGGGGAGAGCCCTGAGGCATCCCACAGAAGAGGGGCCACGGACGCGATCTCTCCCCCCGTCAACACTGACTGGAACTGATCGCTGAGGAAGGAGGTGAACCACTGGAGCATACTGCCTTCCACTCCTAACCTCTGCAGCCAGTCCAGAAGAATACTGTGGTTAACAGTACTGAAAGCTGCTGAGAGATCAAGGCACACTAAGATGGATGCACCACCCCCATCTCAGCTTTGCCAAAGGTCATCAACAAGCATGACTAATGCTGTCTCTATACTGTAGCCTAGTTTGAAGCCAGACTGAAATGGGTTCAGGTAACCTGTTTCCTCTAAGAACCTCTGCAGCTGTTGTCCAAGCACCTTTTCCACAACCTTTGCCAGAAAGGGAAGATTGGAAACTAGCCAATAATTCTCCAATAGGGAAGAGTCCAGCAATGACCTCTTGAGGAAGGGGCATACAACTACCTCCTTCAAGGCTGGCGAGACCATCCCCTCTCTCAAAGAAACCACTGCATGAACCCATCCCATGGTCACCTCCCAGGCTGCTTTAATAACCCAGGAGGGGTCAGGATCTAACAAACAGGTGGCAGGTCTGACTGTGCTGCCTTGGCCAGGGATCAGATTACAGCAGGTGCAAGGCCAGAAGCTGCTGAGATTCAGCGTCCAAAGAGCATAGTCCAAACACAAGCTGTGGGTCAGGAACACAGAGGTCAGAAAGTCAGAGTCCAGTCTAAGGGTCAAGAAGCCAAGGAGTCTGATTCAAAGCATCAGCAGTTCAGCTCAGGAATGCACGACTTTGCATCCACAACCGGCTCTCTGTCTTCCTCGTGTTTATCTTCAGCTGGCAGATTGTCAGATGCATCCTGGAAAGACTCAGAGTCCTGTGTCAGATGTCTGTGTGCCATAAGCCTAGCACTACATTGCCTTTCTGCATCCACAACCGGCTCTCTGTCTTCCTCGTGTTTATCTTCAGCTGGCAGATTGTCAGATGCATCCTGGAAAGACTCAGAGTCCTGTGTCAGATGTCTGTGTGCCATAAGCCTAGCACTACATTGCCTTTCCTTTAACTCAGCCCTCATCCGATGCCTGCATCTTCCCACAGGTGATTCTGGAAACCTGAGGGCTTGAGTAGATTCAGCTGGATGCTGGCTGAGAGCTGGGGATGAGCTGCGAGGCTGAAGTGCTTCGGTTGCCTCTTGTTCCTCGGCGTCCTGAGAATCTAACA